CTAACGATGAATTCCCCTAGGGAAATCTCAACACGCTTCACTAAGGACGTATGTTTAGTTGTGAATGGTAACACTCAAGTTACTGAATGACATGTAGGTGACCAATTAGAACAAGCTATTTAGATCTTATCAAATTTTGACCAATCAGGATTTTAACATTCGCCTGGTAGATGTTAAAAACGAGAAAAACAATGGTTTCCTGGCAGGCGTTTCCCTCTCTCCTTCCTCGCGCGTCCCTCGCGTTTCTCTCGCGCCTAAAACTCCCTATCCCAAAGCTCCCTTTCCCTTCCCTTTCAAACGCCTGCCACGCAGGCTAGTTGATGTGCGTCATTCAGATTTTATATCCTCCCACAAAGTGATTGGAAACGGCATGACAACTAATTGGTGCACTGAACCATGACCAAACATTTTGCTTGTATTTTTGACAAGAAGAAATCAATATAACAACGTGGGAATAATGTTTTTGTTTTTAAAGTTACACACAAATACATATCTTCGATCGTTGTGACAAACCGGCACAGCATTGTGATCGCCGCCGAGCCGAGCGTAGTTACGCCCGTTGTAAATATCACCACATGTAGCTACAACTGGACAGGCTTATATCAGTCATTCCCCGCTCATTTATACCCAGTACGTTAGTACTATAATATATTTCGAGACCATTCAGTAAATTTCACATTCCATGCACCTTCGCAAGGAGTGTTTAGCGATAGGAACCCCGGCATCGCATTGATCCCACAAAAACTTACAATTTCAATGCATTAATATTAGGCATATTATTCACCTCCGCTTCATATAAAATCATTGCAAAATGTGGCATTCTATGTCCAAAGACACTGCCTTTAACTGAGAAACAACGCAACGCCTTACATTTCTTTGTAGCGACTTGAAATGTTTGCCCCCTGGCGATCCCATAATCCTGTGCGCATAGTCTCTGACCGGCGTGTCCCCATGCCAATAACAATCCTAGAATTCTTTGCGAAAGTTAACTCTGCCCAGTTTCCTTCTCGTTTCTATTCCCTTTGAAACTCTCTTGGATGCAGTGGTTTGGTCTTTTTAAGGCTGGGACATTTTTGCCCCAAAAATGAATTCCCCGAAATGTTACACATATTATTATTCATTCAAAATACGTAAACTGCCGCTTGTAAGCCCTGGGTTTATACATCTTCCTAAGGAGTTTAAGGAGGGCTTATAAACGGAGGGGTTTATATCCGAGGGGGCTTATAACCGGAATATAGCTATAGCAAGGCTGATCAAAATATGTTTGGCATTTACTAGTGTCTGTTACAGTCAAGCCAGGTCAAGCGTACCCCCCAAGATTCCATTACTGAATTTATTATTCGAAAGTTGAATTCGTTGGTACTTGTGTATTTCAGATTCATCTCTGCATTCTCGCATGCGTAATGAGCCGTGAATCACACGCGAGGTAGTTAGGAAATTTCTACCAGCTGAGTTTCCTTGAATTTGATGTAAATGTCTTTTAAGAAATTTCACCCATTCAAAGATTTCCAACGGCTGTCCAAATACAGAGAAGTTCTCGTAACATATTTACTGCTCATTACGCATGCAGAAGTGCCGAATTGAATTTGACGCCAGTTACGGGAACGACTAACGGATTCATTGTTCAAATGATCAATTCATTAATAGAATCTTGGCGGGTACGCTTGACCTGCCTTGACTGTAAAAGCTTCAAAACTTCATGATAATCAACTACATTAGGAGGTGGCTTATATCCCAGGGGGGATGGCTTGTTATTGGATGTAAATTTTTGATTACATCAGGTAGGTGAGCCCATAACTACGGAGGGTTACAAGTTGGGGGGGGGGGGGGGCTTGTAAGCGGCAGTTACGGTATTTCGCCGTTAAATGACCCTCAACGCCCTGAATATATGAATCCCTCCATAGTGCTGTTGTTGATGACTGTTGTATAATAAAACCGCACAGTAGCGCAGTTTCTCTTCATTTCGAAATGTTACCCTCTCTTTCGCGTTCGAAAGTTCGAAAGTCGTTTTCCATTAATTTCATTATTAACGTCGCGTTACATGTAAACTCCCGGGGTTAAACTTCACTAACCTGCGATCATCAGGCGCCTTTTTTTTCGGGGAAAAGGGAGAAAAAAGAACGCCTGATACATTTACATCAAAAGTCGTCTGCCGCCTCCTAACTCTAGCGGTTTCGATAATAGCCGCCTTCGTTATGCACCTATCAATGTAAAACCGCGGTGGGGGGGAGGGGGGCAGGGCATGGGGTGGGGATTTGATTGTCTTTGTTGGCCCTGGGGTAGGGCATTTGACTGATCTTGTTCTCCCAGGGGAGGGGATATTTGAATCTTTCTTCTCCCGAGGTGGAGATATTTGACTGCCGACTCGGACGAAAAAGACTGAGACCGAACATACGTTTCCCGCTTCCACGCTTCACGCATACACCGTACGGTTTGAAAAGATCAGGAAGTCATGGAGGCCAACGAGAACAAGCGAAGGCTGACTGGATTTCACTGTTTTGCCTTCAAATTCCGTTTGTTTTAGCGTGTTTTTGATCAATTCACGGAACCTCTTAAAACACTGTGGTATCAGAATAAACGGAAGTAAAGACAAACCAAGTCGATTTTTGCAAGTACAATTGATTAGTGTATGGCTCATTCGCTACAATCACTGTAAACTTATAAAACTGACTTTCTTTGTACCCTTTACTAAGAACGGTATATTTAAACTTACAAAATGTGGACTTTCTCTAAAGGTTTATGTATTCTACGCAGTGTAACACGGATTATGGTTAAAACGTATAATTGCAGCTGTAACAGGAACATGACTTGTATCTTTGGCGACGCAGTAACGTTTATAAAAGATTGCAGAGTTTTATTTGGAGATATTTTTATTGTGCCTTTCTTAGGTTCTGCCTTGGGATTGGCAGCAATGTGCAGCCTGGGGTGGGGAAATTTGGTTGCATTTGACTGGAATGATTTGCCCGTGGGCAGGGAATTTGATTGCAAATTTTTGAAAAAAGTCAAATCCCCACCCCATGCCCTGCCTCCCCCCCCCCGCCGGCATTACATCGATAGGTGCATTACGAAGGCGGCTATTATCGAAATGTCTACTTTCCAGGCTAGCGGTGAAAGTTAAGTTGATATAGCCGTCGTAAGCGAAAACACCACAAATTTTTAAAAAGACCAAGTTAGCACTGCCGTTATTGCGAATCTTGCCTTATCCTTGCCATGTAATGCCTTTGTTCAAACAGTCAAGTCAAACAAACTAATAATTCATTGAAAACAATAGTGGAGCATTAGAATTCTGTATTTTACTGGATGTAGTCAAAACTATAGGAATTGATTCTGCGGCAACAAATCTGGTCTTTCATCACTTCGCAAAAGTGCGGGTTCAGAATCGTCAATATATTATAATTATTTTTTTACACATATTCACGTAGTTGAACTCGATCGGAAATCAAAGACAACAATTCTGCCTGTATGAGCAAGAAAGCGTCGAAGAAGAAATAGCAAAAATAGCGGATATCCTTACCGGCGACAAATAACAACTCGTCCTCGTCTCAGCCGTCAAGGTTCATTGTTGACTTGATTCATTAAAAAGCATTGTTTTATTTCCTTTAGACCTAGCTTTAAAACCTAAACTTGCTGTTAAAAGAATCGCTTGATTTTCTCGTAGTTTCTGTTATAAAGAGACGAAGGTGACAGAACGTGTCTAATAGCACCGGAAGTAAGATATGTTGCTTGACCAATTGGCGCAGGGCTACGAAGGATCTTTTGTTTTTCGACCAATCAGACAAAAATCCAGATTCTGTAAAGTACCGTATTTATTCGATTAACCGCCCTGGGCGCCTATTGAATTTTTGGACCTTGAGAGTGGGCGCTTATTCGAGGTGGGCGCTCATTCGACGCTGGGCGCTTATTAAATTTTCACCATTTTCCGCAAGTGAAGTATGTTTATGTTGCAACAAAACAACAAAAAGCTAATAAAAAAACGCGAAGAAGTAACAAGCAAGGTTTCTGTAAAATACTCTGAAGAAAACTC